GATCTTTAATGCGGTAACTTGTCAACGGGTGGTGTTTGTTGTGGAACATCTGATGCAAAATCGAACTCTCGCATGTTGAGGCTTATCATATGTTTGCTCGAGTTCAAGCTCTGCCACGCAGCGTCCTCACGTCTTGATACAAAAACGAGCCAAGGAAAATCATTTAGGAAGTTGCAAGAGTAGCAGCAGCAGTTTCGCATGTGTTTCACCGTGGAATGTGGTGTGTTTAGACTCGCGGATGTCGCAACCGCAGCAGCTGCAGCTGGGGCTTCGGCTGCGGCCGGGGTTGCGGGGCCTCGGCCAAAGGCTGAGCCAAAGCTTGGTGAAGGCCCCGAGCTTCGGAGCAAGCTTTAGAGCTGGCAGAGCTGGGTTTCGAAACGTCAGCGCCTTGGGCGCTTTGCCAGCGGCACCTGAAGCTGGGCACCGTCGTCTGGCGGCGAGCTCTTTTCTCGCCAGGCCGGGACGGAGCTCAGCGCAGCAGCGGGGCGAATTGTGGGTTTAGGACCACTTTGCCAGGCTTCTGTGGCAAACTTGGCGCGCTCGCGTTCGCCAAATTCGCCGGGTCGCTGTGCAAGCTGATGCCAGAGGCGATGGAGTGGAGGATGTGGAGGCTGCGGAGGCTGCGGAGAGCGGGGCCAAGAAGAACATGGAGAGAGGCAAGGCCAAGGCTACGCAAGCTTTCCTGGGTGCTCCTGTCCTCCAGGCACGTCGTGACTGTACCTTTCCCTTACCTTGAAGGCTAGAAAGAGCTGTGGGAAAACCTGAGGCCTGGGAGGTTCGGCACCGGCCCTCCGCCATTGCACAGGCGGCAGCGCGAGCACGCGCGATTCATCCACCGCAGGCAGGAGGGTGGAAAACTCGTCAGATTGCACTGCGAGACCCTAGCGACCTGTCTAGCGTATTTTCAGGTCTCTGAGGCATCGGAGGGTCAAGGTCTCAGCTCCGTCTATCTGCGTCTCTCTGCATCTGAGCACATGGCACAAGGCCACCAGGAGCAAGCGAGAAAGGATGATGTGGAGGCGCGCGAAGAAATAGAGAGAGGCACCCGGGACATGAAGTGGCTTGAAGGTGGTGCCTGATACAGTCCGGATCCTCAGTGCACAGTACTGGTTAAGCGTTATGAAGCGTTCACTCTTTGGCTGTCCCTGGAACAGGTTCCTGGCGCCTCGAAAGCCAACTTCTCTCGCATCTATGCACGTGAGGTCGTGGTCCACATTCAAGTTCAGGATACCCTGCCAATTTGTGGAACCATGGCATTGGAGGAATGGGGTGCCAGCGCCCGTTCAGGGCTGGGCTCACGCGAGGAGACAACGCGCGAGCACGGCACTCACACCCACACGAACTGCACAAGATCTTCGCATCAAGCTCTGGCCGTTCAGGTTTCGAGCCTTCTTAGAGAGATTCCTTCAACAGCAGTGCATCCATTCCGTTGTCGACGCAGGCATGCTGATTTTTGGATTGGTTGTTTTCTTGTGCGTTCTCTTTGACCGTTTCAGGTTGTGGGCATTGGCCTTCTGGATATCAGAGGTTCATGAAATGGCAGGGTGTGCATGGGGCTAAGACATTCGCGCGACGCTGCCGGAGCAAGTCCAGCCTTGTGAGATTTGCATCAGGCATTACACGGGCGTAGATGTGGTGCCCTACGTCGTCCAAGAGAACACTGAATACTTTCAGGATTGCGCTGGATGAGACAGGGAGAGTCAGGCTTTAGTCAGAGGGCATGCAAGTTGCAATGCAAGTTCCGGCAATTCTAAACAGGACGGTGCGCGGCTCGCGTCCCATGAGCTCCTCAACTGTGCAGCAATTTACAAAACACAAGATTGCCGAAAACTTGTCTGCGTTCCTTCCGCGAAGGCTGTCCAGCGCTCGTTCGATCTGTGGCGATGCTGGGCTCCCAGAAAATTCCCAACCGATTCCCGACTCACAGGTGCGCCCAGGTTGCGCTGCATTATGCAAGTAGTATGCTAGCAGTATGTGAGTTGTTGAGCCGCCCCGAGCGTCGTGGAGGTTTCTGAGCGGCTCCCACCAGCGGACCTGCTACTGGTGAAGGACGGAGCCTGAGTAAGAACACTTTGGAGCCAGCTGGCGCATCGCTCAGAAGAGCTTGGGTGAGCTTTGAAAACGCACCATGCAAAAGTTATACTGTTTGCTGATGCTGCTGCGTGTGGAGTAATTAATGCTGTTGTCCATGAGTGGAAGATGTAGCGGAGGAGTATGTCCCTTGTTCTTCTTCCGTTGAAGATGCACATTGAATTTCATTCAGTATTTCGCATCACATAGGTGCTTGCGCAACGGCCGTAGAGGCACTGCAGAACTACTAATGCAGCGCTGCCTGCGATGCCTGCGTAGCACATATTCTCAGCATGGGGCGGTAGATTCGATGGTTCAGCTGATTTCAGCGGAGGTTGCGAGGCCGGAGACATCCAGAGCTGGAAACAGACTTCTGCATACGGGGCAGGGGGGAGGTATGGCCAGCCAGAAATGGAGAAACAAATTTGCAATGATCCTCATGCTGCCTTGGTCATCAGCATCGTTGGGGGTCCCGTTTCTCCTGTTGCCAGGCTCTGAGGCTGCCCGCGTCCGTTGGGCCACATGAGGGTTGGATGCTGGAAGCACGGAGGCTATGACGAGTTTTTGCAAGTTCTATGATGGGCCGATGGGTCTTGCCTGGTGGTGGAACTGCCAGATTTGCTTTCATGCACGTTGCGGGCCAGGGCCAGCATCATGAGCATCATGGGGCGACCATTTCTCCTGCTGGCCTTGCCTTTAGAGTTTAGGGTCTAAGGTTTGTGCCGACGTAGCTCGAGACATCTCGAGACTATCTATCCCCGAGTCGCACTCTTAAATTCAGGCCACCTTCTCAGAGAAAAGGTAGCACTTCGTCTATCTGCACTGAATCCTTCGTGGCCTTCATCCCTGTACCCCGCAGAAGCAGCAAAGCTAGCAAACTTAAGGTTAATAAGCCTGGGCCGGCTAAGTGCATCTCTCGAGACACCCTCCAACTCTGCCTGTACACTAGCATTGGAGAGGCACTTGATTTCAGCATGCCACTACTGAAACACACCAGCAATCTGATCAACCCTGTTGGCAGAATTTATCCGAAAGGGTAGATCATGTCCCTGACACGGGACTGTGGCCTCAGCGTTGAGCTCAGGAGGGTCAAGACGCGTCCACCAAGGCTTCGGTCCAACCAGAGGCACTGCCGGAAGCTTCAAGCACACTGCATCCGACACAGAATTTGCATCACCTGTGTCACAAACAGCATCAGCCTCAACATAGACATTCAAGCATCTAACGGCCGTGTGAGGATGCTCCTTCAACCTGTTGTTTGACCAAGCTCTATGCCACAAGCTTGACAGCGATACGGTTTTTTTAAAAACAAGTGAACTTTCTGTGCTTACAGCATTTGGTGGTATCTAAGGCCACCAAATGATGTAATGCAGAAAAATTCAAGAATTTCATGCTTCTGCGACTTGCGGCCTCAAAACATTCCAGCCATAAGTACCAAATTGGAACTTTTTGCGCAGGACAGCAGTGCATTACGGCGTTTGGTGGTGAGCCTACACTGATTTGTTGAAGTTTTTGCGCAGTACAAGGTTTTCTAATGGCTTCTGCTACGGTTTTTTTAAGCAACATAAGTTGCCCGTAAGTTCCTGAACTAACTTATAAGTTGACCCTCCGGCTAAGTTAACTTACCCGGAAGTTATCAACTTATAAGTTGACTTAGGGACGTTATAACATGACTTATAAGTTACTTACAAGTCCCTAAGTTACCGGCGAACCTGTAGTTGAGGCCTTGCACGACGAGCTGGCGAACCTCGGCTTCCGACCCGAGGATGAGATCAGCTTGGACAAGCAGATCCGCAAGAACTTTGTGTTCGGCAACAACGAGAGTAGCCAGGCTTTGGGCCCGGTGCAAGTGAATGTGGGCATTCATGGCACCGAGCAACGCCTGGAGGCTCACGTGGCGGAAGGCCAGACACTCCTCCTGTTGTCCAGCAAGTGGCTGTACGAGCAGGAGGCCATCATTGACTTCAAGACGGGCCACGCCTTGCTTCCCAAGATCTCCAGCGAGGTGATCCAGCTTGAGCGCGCCCCCACGTATCATTTGTTGTTGCCAGTGACGGCCTACCAAGGTCATCAGGCAGCTCGGGACATCGCTGCAGCGAGTGGTGACGATGAAAGCCGACTCCTGAGGGCCTGTGCCCAGCTGAGTTCAAGTGAGCTTCCTGCGACTGCTGTTGCTCAGGAGTAGGGACAGCACCATCAGGGGGAATTACTGGACAGTCCCCTGAGTGGACCTAGGCAGCTTGACCAAAGCCACAGTCCAGATCACGTTTATTTTCAAGTGAAGTCTCCGCGTAGCGATTGGGATGGTAGCGATGGTAGTTGTTTATTGTTGGATGATCATAAAGAACTGTTCCGGAAACAAGCTCGTGAAGTGAGGCAGCAAGTTCAGCATGACATTTGTTCGGTTACGAGTAACAGGGTTGACTTGTTAGAGGTTTGTTGTCCTTGGGATTCTCCTCTGAGTGCTGCTGTCATCAGGGCTGGGGGTAGAGCTTTCAGGATGGGGATCCATAATGGATATGATCTGTCCACCAAGGCCGGGGTAGCTAAGGCTATCCGAAAGCTTTTGGAACTCCACCCTCGGTATGTCCATGTTTCTCCTCCGTGTTTTCCCTGGTGCTCTGGGAAATGCCACCATGCTGGCGAAGCTTCAGCAGAGTCGGCAACATGGTAGGAAAATCCTACAGGGTTGTGCAAAGTTAATTGAGATTCAGAGACAGGAGTTGCGTGGCCAGACCAGCATGGGCCCAGACAGCTCAGCAGGACATGCCGGAGGCGAACACCCTCTGTGTGCGCTTTCCTGGAAGGAACCTAGCATGCGTAAGATGGTTTCCCTGCGCGGTGGTGAGAAGTTCAGGTTGATGGTTGCAGGTTCGCGATGTATTCGGAAAGGGGTGAGGGTCCCACTCAGAAACCTTGCAATTGGTTCTCTTCGTCACAGGCGATTCAGAAGGCCATTCAGAAAAGGTGTCAGCATGACAAAGGGCAACATGTGACCATGAACAATCGGGAAAAGGTTGCTTCTGCTACGTATCCCCCAAAGTTGTGTAGGGCCCTTGCGAAAGCGATTATGGATGAACTGTTTGTTGAGTTACAAGACAAGGTTCATGTGTATGCCCAGGACGAATACCGTGAGCACGCTAAAAGACGTAGGATGAATCCCGAAGCACCCCAAAATGAAGAAGCTGAGTTTGATGGCAATTTGCTTCCCGACATTGAGCCTCAAGAACCCGAACCCAGGTCTGAACCTCAAGCTCCTGAACCCCCGCATGAAGATTTAGAACCCACGGATCCCCAGCGGAAACCGGACAGCATTGATAACAAACTACGTGTGATTCATGCTAATCTGGGTCATCCTTCCAATCAAGTGCTTGTCCGAACCTTGAAAGAAGCCGGCGCTTCTGCTGAGATTTTGAAAAGAGCAGCTGAGTTCCACTGTGTGCATTGTGCCCGCAGAGGACACGCCCAGCCACACCGGACGTCTCAGGCTCCACATTCGACCCGAAAGTGGGAGACTATCAGCGTTGATACTTTCTGGCGGCATAGCCCTCATAAAGATGAAAAAGGTAATCCCCATGAACATGTGGTTGGTGTGTCCTTTATGGATGAAGCTAGCGACTTTCATGTGGCCACCATAGTTCGGTCGGGCACAAGCAAGCAGGGTTCTGTCAGTTCAGAGGAGTTCAAGGCAGCCTTGGCCAAGGACTGGCTAAGGATTCTCCCTAAGCCAGGCGGCATCCGCTTCGATGATGAAGGAGCATTCCGCGATCAAAAGTTGATTGAGTGGATCGAAGCACAGGCTATCCGGGTCTCAGTCATAGCTGGTGAAGCCGCTTGGCAGGTAGGAAAGCACTCCCGTCATTTGGAAGTTCTCAAAGAAAACATGTCGTTGCTTTCGTCCGAGCTTGGTAGTCAAGTCAGGGCCAATGAACTCCTTGCCTTAAGTCTGGCTACGAAGAATGAAATGCACAATGTTCAGGGTTACTCTCCGAATCAATGGGTGTTTGGTCAGGACACGAGTCGTATCCAATCATATCTTCAGCACGGAGATAACCTGGTCACGACGAGCCTTCGGGAACGCAACGAGACTTTTGAAGAGTCCCTGGAAAGGTCCCATCAGGCCCGACAGACATTTCTTCAAGCAGACAGTAGGCAACGCATTCTTCGCGCAGCTCGTGGACGAGCACGCAAGCATCAAACCTTTGAAGTCGGACAGCTTGTGTACTTCTACAGAAAGGGTCGTAACAACACAAGTAGGATGGCATGGCCCAGCACGTGTCCTTGCCATCGAAAAGCAAGGGTCTTCTGAGAATAATCAAACCCAAGGATCCGTCATATGGATCGTGCATGCTACTGTGTTGTTCCGTTGTGCTCCTGAACAGTTGCGACTTGTACCACCACATGTGCAGGAAACGTATGGCGTCATATGTGACCCCTTAAGTCCTCTAGAACAGTTGCGCCGAGCAGGCAACCGTGCAAATTACCGCGATATTTCTCAGGATCTTGCGCAGGAGCTCGAGGACAGTGAACTCCATGATCAAGAACCGCAAGTTCGTGGCTCGTCATCCCGACTAGCGCCTCAGCCCCTGCGTCGTGTGACCGGCAAGCGCCCAACACATGGCCCAGAACTCCAAGCAGACCGCCCTCAACCTTTCCGAGAAAATGGCCAGCGCCTCGAAGAAGAAGGCCAGGGAGTCAACCGCCACTCAGGAGATCAACCGCCTGGAGGGACTGAGCTTGAAGCAGCTCGGCGAGGAGACGGTCAAGTTCGGCAAGTTTGCGGGCCAAACCTGCCACCAGGTGTTCCAGGAGAAGACGGACTACCTCAAGTGGCTCATCGAACACCACGAGAACAAACCCAAATACCTCAACGTCATCTGGCACGCCAAGAGACAGGCGTTGATGGCCGAGATGGACAGCCTGCCTCCGACTCCCGGAGCCGCAGCCCAGTCCAGTCCAGGAACTACGGTGAGCAGCGGTCCAACACTGGC